TTTAATTTTATGTTTATAAATGAACGATCAAGATTTATTATGGGTGAAGTCCCAAGCCACTTTTATATAGTAGTATAGATATCTTGTCTTAATTATTCATTCATTATAACTTAGAAATAAGAAATTCATATAAATGCATACGAATTTTAATTTATAACACATTTTAAAATCTATCAAAAAATATCACATGAGCTTAAAAGTAAAATAAGCATATATTTAATTTGCATATAAATATAAAAATTTAAACGTTAGAAGCATAAACAGATAGAGAACTTAGTTGTAAATAAGTATTGTAAAGCAAATGATTTTTAATTAGTAAATAAGTATTGTAAAGCAATTTCGATCTTTGCAGAAAAAAAATTTGCTTAGGGCTTCAAAAGTAATTAAATATTACAAGAAAAATGAACTTCAAAAAATATCAAATCACCATTGAAATAATATATGAATAATTACCCACTTACAAATATACAATAACAAAAAAGGTGTTACTACTCTTACAATAAGGTTTCATTTGGGACAGCTTTTTCATTGCTTTATAAAATAAAATTTTAGTATAAAAATTTTAATTATTTTACTAAAACTCCGTTTTCAATAAAAAAGCCGTCCCAAACGAAGACTAAATATAAACATGCAGCTTTATAACAAAAAGATAAAATAATTCCTTGTAGCTAATATTGGGACATTTTTTTGCAACTCAGCTCACTTTGATATAATAGGTTGAGAGTTTTGACCATCTATAAAGGTGTTGGATTCAAAGTCTACATATGTAATATGTGTATTTGACTTGTGCTTTCATTTGTGACGGCTTTTAATGTTTATTAAAGCGACTTTTTAAAATAAAAAATTTAAATTTTTTACAAAAAAAAACTATTTTTAGTAAGAAAATCATCCTAAATGAAATCTTAATTGGCCTAAATGTACCAAAAATAAAAATAAGCCCTACTAGTTTTTTTTTTTTTTTTCCTTTTCTTTAGTTGAAGCTGAAAGCAAGGTTTCATTTGATGAAGCCAAGCACATACCAACATGTAGTAACTGAAGTATAGAAAACCAGTTGCTTTACTAAAGCCAAACAGAATTTTTTTCCTCACATAGCAACTAAAAAGGAAGAAAGATACAAAATAATTGATAAAATAAATAGAGACAAGCAAATAATTGTTCCTAAAGTCTATCAAGGAAAGAGTTCAACAAACGATAGGTGATCAGAAACAAATGTGTGTGAGAATGCTTCACTCTTCCTCTTTCTCTTCCTCATCAGCAAATTTGATCTTCTTATTTGCAGTTTGAATGTTACCCACCTGTATTATAAGAAAAAAAAAAAGACTGATTGATTATGTTTTTTAATAATACAATGTTTGATCTGCCATATCTCCAATCGATTTGCATTTCTAAGTCCAATGAGTGCATCTTATATGCATCATTGAACATTAATGCAAATTTCACCTAACTGTAATGCATTCATTCCAACATATCAAGCTAGGAAACAAAATCTGGCCCATTTCAAATATTTTAGCATATCTTCATATATGTCCTAAGATTAATTGATTTGCAACACTGGAAACTGCAGCCCAAACATTGAACGCAAACAACTGTTAACCAAATAACCAGACCAAGATAGCTTCGCATCATTTATATCGTTTCCACAAGCTAAGTTGTTTGAACACTCACAAACTCTTGTCATTAAGGCCTGGTTTTGTTTGGGACGGCTTTTCTATTGCTTCTTAAAATGAAGTTTTAGTACAAAAATTTTAAGAAGTAATAAAAAAGCTGTCCCAAATGAAGTCTAAGGCATCGTTTGGGACGGCTTTCTTACTGCTTCTTAAAGCAGCTTTTTAGTATAAAATTTTTAATTTTTGTATTAAGAAGTTGCTTTAACAAACAGTAAGAAGCCGTCCCAAATGAAGCCCAAATCATAAATCTTAAGTAACTAAGATCATAGATTTTTAACTAGAGTAAACAGTTCACACTAAAAATCAACTTGTCAAATGAGTCTATTCAAGTCGGGTAGTTTTTTGGTCTATTCAGCACTTAATTTTATTGCAAAACAATGTAGGATAAGTACTCTTTTCAGACCAAAAAAAACAAGCAATCCTTATTATGTTTTGGGCAGAGATTTTGTGTTCCAGAATTGTATTATGAAGTGCAAGTAGGCCAGATAGTCTGTGCAAGTTTACGGCATTTGAACTTGAAAATCTAGGTCTCATGGTTAACATGGAAACGCAGCAACCTATGGTTTATAGTTAGCTTCAAAATTATGGTACAAAAGAACAAAAACAAAAACATTTACACTTACAAATCCAGGGCATTCATATTCAATGCCAGCATCCTTTATGCGTTTGCGCCTTTTTGCATCACGCTTCAAAATTCCTTCCACCAAACTCTGATATTCTTTGGTGTTTCTCTCCTGCAAAAATGTGCAAGAAGACACAACTTTTTGCAATTCAAATATATTTTAGTTATAAAAGAAATTTAATCTACATATACAAATAGTTACCTTGTTATGCCTTTTTCTTTCCATTTCTATCCACCTATGTGGGATATGGGTCTTACCCACGCCTTTCCATCTGGGAGCAGAAGAAATATATAAGACAAAAAAAATATTGAAAATTTTTCAACAAGCTTATTAAATTAACATGTACTGTGCAAATTAGACTCGGAACTTAAACCATTATGTGTCAAATTAGAGAAGAATGAAATGAGATATAATGGTGGCATTGGCACAAGAAATGGAGATATAAAATCAAAGAAATAGGTAGCTGCAGCTTGAATTGAGTTAACCAAATCTACACAAATGGCTCATTAGATAGGTGGTTTTTCATGTTTAAAGAGTTGAGACCGATTAAATATTTAGGAATGTAATTAGGTGGGAAAAATTAGGGACCTAATGAAGGAAAAGCTTTGATTTAAGACCGATTTAATGTAAGTAGATTGAGTGATCGGAAATACTTAGATTCAAGTATTTCCTATCGATTCGAGTGGGGAAAACAGCAATAGAGTTGCTGTTTTTGTAG